TTACACCTTTTTCTAAGAATTCTTTGAACTTCAAAAGTTTTGCATTTGTGTGTTCTGAGGAGTCATGCTTAAGGGTTGTGAGTTATTGGGTTCTTGACTGAAGCATAGCCACTGTTAATTCTCCTTGGCTCTCTGCCCTGTCTCTGTGTTGAATATGGATGCAATAAGCCCGTATGCACCTTTCATTAACATGTCACTGCCGTTTCTTGTGACTGACATGGGTGCTGAGTGTAAACAATTGGGGTATGTGGCCCATTGTAGCGAGATATGCTGACAGTGGCAACCTGCCCTGATTGGTTGCCGAACTGCCATGTCAGTCATGTCTGTCGACACCTTTGTTGCAAATCTGATTGGACTGGAATCTGGAAGATATCCAGCTTCAAGGTGTAAACATGAAGTAGGAGTAAAATCCTTCATGAAAACAATATAGGCAAACAGATCTTGGACACACAAACAAAGAGATTCAAATTTATTCAAACAGAAACTGACTAAACACCAGCCACCCTCATGCACTCACTGTGACCTCGACCACTGACAGAAAGAACAATGATAGGGCAATGTAGAACTAACACACATGTGAAAGAAGCAACCACTGTGTCTGATGAATGGTGACTGAAGTTTGAGGATTCTCTTGTAACTCTCTGGAGAATTCACACACACAAAAAAAAAATCACAAATGACACTTTAATATCGCAGTTGGGTAACTCTTTCTAGATGGTCCACTTTAGACATTCTATCTATAACTTTGCAACTACGTCAACTTATTCTACTAACCCTTACCTAAACCTAGCCTACAGTCTACAGGTAAGAGTTAGTTGATGCAGTTGCAAAGTTACAGTTAGCAGAATGTCTAAAGTGGACCATCAAAATAAATTGTTACCCTCAGGGGTTTCTTCTATAAAATGAGTCAAATAGATGTTACGTAATTGGTGTGATGTTATCAATGATCAGAGAGACATAGGACACTAATAACTGCTAGCATTGCTGACAATATATTCTTCCTAAATGATACATAAAAAGAATGTATTGATGGATGTATGTATGCGCATGAATTTATTTATTTATATTATGCATGAAAGTATGTATTTATTTTTAGGGTGCCATTTTAACTTTAACCTTAAAAAAATGTTTATTTATTTTAAACTATGTACTATTTATTTGTATAAGTTCATAAATAGAATGTGCTTTAAATTATTAAATATTGTACTTAAATATTAAATATGGTATATATTTTTAAATATAAGCTACGGTTTAAAAGTTTGATATTTTGAAATAATTGTGCACATCCAGAGCATGAACCTCCCGTTCCTCCACATCCCAAAAATGTTCGATTGGGTTGAGTTCTGGTGACTGTGGGGGCCATTTTAGTACAGCGAACTCATTGTCATGTTCAAGAAACCAATTTGAAATGATTCGAGCTTTGTGACATGGTGCATTATCCTGCTGGAAGTAGCCATCAGAGGATGGGTACATGGTGGCCATAAAGGGATGGACGTGGTCAGAAACAATGCACAGGTAGGCCATGGCATTTAAATGAAGCCCAATTGGCACTAAGTGGCCTAAAGTGTGCCAAGAAAACATCCCCCACACCATTACACCACCACCACCAGCCTGCACAGTGGTAACAAGGCATGATAAATCCATGTTCTCATTCTGTTTACGCCAAATTCTGACTCTACCATCTGAACGTCTCAACAGATATCGAGACTCATCAGACCAGGCAACATTTTTCCAGTCTTCAACTGCCCAATTTTGGTGAGCTCTTGCAAATTTTAGCCTCTTTTTCCTATTTGTAGTAAAAATGAGTGGTACCCAGTGGGGTCTTCTGCTGTTGTAGCCCATCCGCCTCAAGGTTGTGTGTGTTGTGGCTTCACCAATGCTTTGCTGCATACCTTGGTTGTAACGAGTGGTTATTTCAGTCAAAGTTGCTCTTCTATCAGCTTGAATCACTCGGCCCATTCTCCTCTGACCTCTCGCATCAACAAGGCATTTTTGCCCACAGGACTGCCGCATACTGGATGTTTTTCCCTTTTCACACCATTCTTTGTAAACCCTAGAAATGGTTGTGCGTGAAAATCCCAGTAACTGAGCAGATTGTGAAATACTCAGACCGGCCCATCTTAAATCACCTTTCTGTCCCATTCTGACATTCAGTGTGGAGTTCAGGAGATCGTCTCGACCAGGACCACACCCCTAAAGTATTGAAGCAACTTCAATGTGATTGGTTGATTTGATAATTGCATTAATATGAAATTGAGCAGGTGTTCCAAATAACCCTTTAGGTGAGTGTGTGTGTGTATATTCTTTCTCTTCCTCTATAAAGTTTAGAAACCTGTCAGCAGGTAAGCAAACCATAGTCAAATTGCATTACCCAGGAAATATAACAAATAGCTCACATGTTGCAAACACATACAAACTCACACCACATGAATGACACAGCCATGCCACCATATCTGACCCTGGACCACAAAACCAGTCGCATGGGTCACTTTTTGAAATTGAGATTTATACATCACATGAAAGCTGAATAAACAAGCTTTCCAGTGATGTATGGTTTGTTTGGATAGGTCAATATCTGGCTGAGATACTACTATTTGAAAAACAAATCAAAACATTGACAAAATCACCTTTAAAGTTGTCCATTTATGTTCGCGATTGTGCTGCATTCACTCACAAAAATAAATGTTTTAAATATTTAGGGTAGAAAATTTACTAAATATCTTAATGGAAAATAATCTTTACTTAACATCCTAATGCTTTTGGCGATAATTGACAATAATTTTGACCCATACAAGGTTTTGTTGGCTATTGCCAGAGATATACCCGTGCTGCTTGTGACTGGTTTTGTGATCCAGAGTCACATATGTCTTACACACGCTGTAATCGTTTCTACCGACGCGTTTCCACGCCTTGGCCTCAACCCTGCTCTCTGGGCTCCCCGTCTGCTGTCCACAGACTCCACACTCATATGTTTCCTATCGCCAGCGCGGCTGTGGTTCCCTTCCCTGATTCTACCGGACTGGAAAAACAGAGCTAATATGGTGTGATCTGCGGAGTGAGCTTTGATGCAGGACCTTTCACAAACACCCCCCACCCCCTGCCGCCATATGGTTTGAATTCGTCTCTTAATTTATTTCCTATAAATGTCTCTTGAATATTCAGGCAGGCCACGTGTGGAGCCGGGGCTGGAAAACAGAAGGCCTCAGAGAGCAGTTTGTGGTGACGTGTGATGAGTATATTTTCCTTTTATTTGTTTTCATTCATTTCTTGTTGCCATCTATTTGTGCACATATGGTAGGACCAGACAAGACTTCAAGCTAAGTGTAGCTGGCCCACATCAGAATAACAAATAAACGAATCAGGAGGAAGGGAAAAGATGTCGGCCATGATACCAAGGTAATATGAATCAGGAGTCATTAAAAGGCAATAAGCAGGAGAAGTGGAGGATGAGGTCATTGTGATTCATGTGTTGGAGGTCAGGTTTCATGGCTTTCGAGCTTGTTTTAGAGCCGCCAACTCTGGAGCGCATGGAAACAAAGCTGTCCAAAGTGACTGTAGTTTCCTATGCAGACTTCAGAGCAATGATAGCACAGGGTTTTTTTTGTGTGTGTGTGTGCTGATTTTGGGGGATGAAATAAAACATGATAAAATGAGTTAAACAGAGCTTATTGGTAGATGTAATAATGATCAAAACTAACCTGCGGCCTACTAAATCTGTCACAGTGTTGTTTATAACTATGTGTATGAAAAAAAACAAACTTTTTTTAGTAGATATGAATAGTACAAACTGCATATTGTGATGATGTAATTGATACCCTTATGTTGGTTTATTGATGGTTGAACATTTATGTTTTCATACAGATTGATTCTGTATAAAAAAGAGATGTTATTGATTAGGCTTAGACATTATATTTGTTTTAATCAAACAATTGCATTTGGCTGAGATTATGCTTGACATCAACATATTGTCTCGGAAAAGAAAGGACATCCATATATTCTACATCCCTTAAACCTAGCCAATACATAAACTTTACAACTACCTTACCAACTATTAATAAGCAGTAATGAAAAGTTGTTAATAGTTAGTTAATAGTGAGGCGTGGACCCTAACCTAATCTTTTAATAATTTTTTTTTTTAGTTTTAATTTTACTTAATAATTATTTAAAATGATTCTATTATTTAGATACTTTAACAGAGCATCATTAAAATAAGGAATAATAATTGTAACATATTTAATATTTGAAATATCTATATTAACGGTATGCCCTTTATAATTGCCTCTGTTGTTTATATAATTTTCCCCTAGCAGTCATGTAAATAAGACCTTCCGAAACTCCCCGAGAGTGTCCTACTGATGACAGAGTCATTAAGGTGTTCCATTGATCTCGAGTCTGTCTGCCCTCTATCTGAGGAGAAAACTCCCCCACCCTGTTCCCGCTTTCTCTTTTCCTTTTTTTTCCTCCCTCTAAATCAGAATGGCCTTGTCAGGGAGGATTAATTGGGGGAGGCCAGTGTCAAGCTGTCTGTACAACACACCCAGACTCTGCTCTCCAACAGTAAACAATAAGGGTGTGGATTAGTTTGGAAACAATGTGTTTATTTAAAAAGCTCACTTCCTGTATGCACTTGACAACCCTCCCATTAATTTCATTGGCAGCGACTCCGGTTCAGAAAAATGTTATCATTGTTTAGGAGGAAAATACAAAACCCAAACAAAACAAAATACAGTGCTTTTTAAAATGGCACTCGGTTCCTGAGAGATACTAAAAACGCTAGGCGAGCCTACATTGAAATAGCGCCCAGAAAACTCTTAAACCTCTAAGCAGAAAACAAACTCCAAATCATTTTGTTTGAGTTGGCACCGTTATGCTGGATTTTTGTTTACAGTCAAAACAGAGACTTAAAAAATGCTTGGCGGTGCTTTTTTTTTCTCTCTCTCTCTCTCTCTCTAATTTCACCTCAGCTAACTGTGGTTGTCTTTCTTTTTTGGTGCCTGTAGGGTCTGAAATGTAGTGCTCGTTGCAGAGCCTTGGAGGTAGCGCTCAGAGCCCCTGTGCCCAGAGCCACATCCTGTCCAAAAGCAACACTCTTGCACTTTTCTAACATGCAGAAACAAAGCATTTGGAAAGAACTATTTACGTGCACAAAGGCAGCAAAAATTAATGATGTACTCCACTTCTTATAATAAAATATTTTTATAAAAGTATTTCCTTTTTATTTATTTAAATTGAATATTTAGATAATGTATAAAACATCTAGCACTATTTATATTTTTATTTTACAATATTTTATTATATTGGATATTTTTCCAAATTTAAAATTTAGATCTAGTTAGTGTATAAATCATATATTTTATAATTTTACGATATTTGAACTTAATTCAAACTTAGATTTTTTATAGCAAAATTAATATTTATAATTGCTCTAGAGACTCCATTTTTGCACTCAGGTCTAAGTCTCATGGCCCTCTATCAGAATCCCGAGTTTTGAGAAGATTGGAGAAACTTATTTTTTCGCACCGAAAAAAACAAAACAAAAGGAGTACCACTGTCTTTTTTTTTTTTTGGCTCGAAATTTTGAGTTTCTCTGACCTTCTTGAAACTCTGGATTCTGATAGAGGGCTAAGAGACTTAGACCTGAGTGCAAAAATGGAGGCTCTAGACCCTTCCAGAGCTGAGATATTGAGATTTTTATAATGACATAAATGCTACGTAGGATCTCAATATCTCAGCTCTGGAAGGGTCTAGAGACTCCATTTTTGCACTCAGGTCTAAGTTTCATGGCCCTCTATCAGAATCCAGAGTTTTGAGAAGATTAAAGAAACTTATTTTTTCGCACCGAAAACAAAAAAAAAAACGAAAGGGGTACCACTGTCGTTTTTTTTTTTCGGTGCGAAAAAATAAGTGCTTCTCTGATCTTCTTGAAACTCTGGATTCTGATAGAGGGCCAAGAGACTTAGTCCTGAGTGCAAAAATGGAGGCTCTAGAACCTTCCAGAGCTGAGATATTGAGATTTTTATAATGGCATAAATGCTACGTGGGATCTCAATATCTCAGCTCTGGAAGGGTCTAGAGACTCCATTTTTGCACTCAGGTCTAAGTTTCATGGTCCTCTATCAGAATCCAGAGTTTTGAGAAAATTGGAGAAACTTATTTTTTCGCACCGAAAAAAAACGAAAGGGGTACCACTGTCGTTTTTTTTTTTTTGGGTCGAAAGTTTGAGTTTCTCTGATCTTCTTGAAACTTTGGATTCTGATGGAGGGCCAAGAGACTTAGGCCTGAGTGCATAAATGGAGGCTCTAGACCCTTCCAGAGCTGAGATATTGAGATTTTTATAGTGGCAAAAATGCCACATGGGATCTCAATATCTCAGCTCTGGAAGGGTCTAGAGACTCCATTTTTGCACTCAGGTCTAAGTTTCATGACCCTCTATCAGAATCCAGAGTTTTGAGAAGATAAAAGAAACTTATTTTTTCGCACCGAAAAAAACGAAAGGGGTACCACTGTCGTTTTTTTTTTTGGGGTCGAAAGTTTGAGTTTCTCTGATCTTCTTGAAACTCTGGATTCTGATAGAGGGCCAAGAGACTTAGGCCTGAGTGCAAAAATGGAGGCTCTAGACCCTTCCAGAGCTGAGATATTGAGTTTTTTATAATGGCATAAATGCTACGTGGGATCTCAATATCTCAGCTCTGGAAGGGTCTAGAGACTCCATTTTTGCACTCAGGTCTAAGTTTCATGGCCCTCTATTAGAATCCAGAGTTTTGAGAAGATTGGAGAAACTTATTTTTTCGCACCGAAAAAAAAAACGAAAGGGGTACCACTGTCGTTTTTTTTTTTTGGGTCGAAAGTTTGAGTTTCTCTTATCTTCTTGAAACTCTGGATTCTGATAGAGGGCCAAGAGACTTAGGCCTGAGTGCAAAAATGGAGGCTCTAGACCCTTCCAGAGCTGAGATATTGAGATTTTTATAGTGGCAAAAATGCCACATGGGATCTCAATATCTAAGCTCTGGAAGGGTCTAGAGACTCCATTTTTGCACTCAGGTCTAAGTTTCATGAACCTCTACACTGTCGTTTTTTTTTTTTTTTTTGGTCGAAATTTTGAGTTTCTCTGATCTTCTTGAAACTCTGGATTCTGATAGAGGGCCAAGAGACTTAGACCTGAGTGCAAAAATGGAGGCTCTAGACCCTTCCAGAGCTGAGATATTGAGATTTTTATAGTGGCAAAAATGCTACATGGGATCTCAATATCTCAGCTCTGGAAGGGTCTAGAGACTCCATTTTTGCACTCAGGTCTAAGTTTCATGGCCCTCTATCAGTATCCAGAGTTTTGAGAAGATTAGAGAAACTTATTTTTTCGCACCGAAAAAAAAACAAAAAACGAAAGGGGTACCACTGTGGTTTTTTTTTTGGGTTGAAATTTTGAGTTTCTCTGATCTTCTTGAAACTCTGGATTCTGATAGAGGGCCATGAGACTTAGACCTGAGTGCAAAAATGGAGGCTCTATACCCTTTCAGAGCTGAGACATTGAGATATTTATAATTCTACCAGAAAGACTCGAGAGAAAGTTGAAAAGCAGAATACATTTATTGACAGTTCAGCAAGCATAAATTTATGAGTTCTTTGGCATAGGCCCCGTCCTTAGCGAGCAGAGCGAGGTTAGCCGAATCTCCATGTCCCGCATGAGATGAAGGCGGGGCGTAGCCGACACCCTGGAGGTAAGGAAGGGACCATTCTGGTGGTGGTGATGGATGGGGAGGATGGAGGGGAAGGTACCATCTTGGTGGTGGTTGGGGAGGATGGAGGTGAATGGCAGCGTCAGCATCTGCAAACTCAGACAAGTGTAAGTACCAATCTTTTATACTGTGACTGTTAACACCTGATTGGATAGGAATGAGGTAATACATGACACGCTTATTGAGTCTTCCTGACAGAACTTAAGCTAAAGCTTTCATTGGCATAAATGCTACGTGGGTTCTCAGTATCTCAGCTCTGGAAGGGTCTAGAGACTCCATTTTTGCACTCAGGTCTAAGTTTCATGGCCCTCTATCAGAATCCAGAGTTTTGAGAAAATTAAAGAAACTTATTTTTTCGCACCGAAAAAAAAAAAAAAAAAGAAAGGGGTACCACTGTCGTTTTTTTTTTTTTTTTTTCGGTGCGAAAAAATAAGTGCTTCTCTGATCTTCTTGAAACTCTGGATTCTGATAGAGGGCCAAGAGACTTAGACCTAAGTGCAATTCTCTGATCTTCTTGAAACTCTGGATTCTGATAGAGGGCCAAGAGACTTAGGCCTGAGTGCAAAAATGGAGGCTCTAGACCCTTCCAGAGCTGAGATATTGAGATTTTTATAGCGGCAAAACTCAATATCTCAGCTCTGGAAGGGTCTAGAGCCTCCATTTTTGCACTCAGGTCTAAGTTTCATGGCCCTCTATCAGAATCCAGAGTTTTGAGAAGATTGGAGAAACTTATTTTTTCGCACCGAAAAAAAAAAACGAAAGGGGTACAACTGTCGTTTTTTTTTTTTTTGGGTCGAAAGTTTGAGTTTCTCTGATCTTCTTGAAACTCTGGATTCTGATAGAGGGCCAAGAGACTTAGACCTGAGAGCAAAAATGGAGGCTCTATACCCTTCCAGAGCTGAGATATTGAGATTTTTATAATGGAATAAATGCTACGTGGGATCTCAATATCTCAGCTCTGGAAGGGTCTAGAGACTCCATTTTTGCACTCAGTTCTAAGTTTCATGGCCCTCTCTCAGTATCCAGAGTTGTGAGAAGATTAGAGAAACTTATTTTTTTGCACCAAAAAAAAAACAAAAAACGAAAGGGGTACCACTGTCGTTTTTTTTTTGGGTTGAAATTTTGAGTTTCTCTGATCTTCTTGAAACTCTGGATTCTGATAGAGGGCCAAGAGACTTAGACCTGAGTGCAAAAATGGAGGCTCTAGACCCTTCCAGAGCTTCCACTGTCGTTTTTTTTTTGGGTCGAATTTTTGAGTTTCGATATCTCAGCTCTGGAAGGGTCTAGAGCCTCCATTTTTGCACTCAGGTTTAAATCGCATGGCCCTCTATCAGAATCCAGAGTTTTGAGAAGATTGGAGAAACTTCATTTTTTCCCCCCTAAAAAAAAAAAACGAAAGGGGTACCACTGTCGTTTTTTTTTTTTTTTCGGGCCGAAATTTTGAGTTTCGATATCTCAGCTCTGGAAGGGTCTAGAGCCTCCATTTTTACCCTCAGCTTTAAGTCTCATGGCCCTCAATCAGAATCCAGAGTTTTGAGAAGATTGGAGAAACTTAATTTTTCGCCCAAAAAAAACAAAAACAAAAGGGGTACCACTATTGTTTTTTTTTCGGGTCGAAATTTTGAGTTTCGATTTCTCAGCTCTGGAAGGGTCTAGAGCCTCCATTTTTGCACTCAGGTCTAAGTCTCATGGCCCTCTATTAGAATCCAGAGTTTTGAGAAGATTGGAGAAACTTAATTTTTCGCCCAAAAAAACAAATACAAAAGGGGTACCACTGTCGTTTTTTTCGGGTTGAAATTTTGAGTTTCGATATCTCAGCTCTGGAAGGGTTTAGAGCCTCCATTTTTTGCACTCAGGTTTAAGTCTCATGGCCCTCTATCAGAATCCAGAGTTTTGGGAAGATTGGAGAAACTTAATTTTTCGCCCAAAAAAACAAATACAAAAGGGGTACCACTGTCGTTTTTTTCGGGTTGAAATTTTGAGTTTCGATATCTCAGCTCTGGGAGGGGCTAGAGCCTCCATTTTTGCACTCAGGTCTAAGTCTCATGGCCCTCTATCAGAATCCAGAGTTTTGGGAAGATTGGAGAAACTTAATTTTTCGCCCAAAAAAAAAAAACGTAAGGGGTACCACTGTCGTTTTTTTTCCGGGTCGAAATTTTGAGTTTCGATATCTCAGCTCTGGAAGGGGCTAGAGCCTCCATTTTTGCAATCAGGTTTAAGTCTCATGGCCCTCTATCAGAATCCAGAGTTTTGAAAAGATTGGAGAACTTCATTTTTCGCCCGAAAAAAAAACGAAAGGGGTACCACTGTCGTTTTTTTTTTTTTTGGGTCGAATTTTTGAGTTTCGATATCTCAGCTCTGGAAGGGGCTAGAGCCTCCATTTTTGCACTCAGGTTTAAGTCTCATGGCCCTCTAT